ATCAACATGGCATTTAAAGCACAGTACCAACACATTTAAACAGGAATTTTACAAAGTATCAATTTAAACGAGTTGTCACCCGGAACACAGGTCCACTGTCCTTTTGGTTCAGCTACTGGTCCCTTCACTCGTGTATAATGAGCCCACCCTTTTTCTTTCATCCGAACTGCAGTTTCAGAGGTCAGCAACACATGGAATGGTTCTTCCCACTTAGGTTGCAATTTCTCCTCCTTCCACATTCGGATCAGGATCCACTGTCCCACCTCAAACTTGTGGACAGGAAATTCCAAAGGGGGTGTTTGGATCAGCAAGCCTTGTTTCCTGCAATGATCAAGATACTGCGACAGTTTATGCACATAATGTCTTATTACTTTATCCCTTGTTACTAAAGAGTCCATGGAGATGTTTCCAGGCATAAATGACACACCATACAACTCATAAGGAGACAATCCTAAATCTTTCTGTGGTTGTGTTCTTATTTGCAACAATACTAAAGGTAAACATTTTATCCAAGTCATTTGAGTTTCATATTGTGGAATTTCCCACTTGAGGTAATTTAAAATCAACTTGAATACATTGAAATAGCCTCACCATTAGATGTTATAGAACAGTGGTTCTCAACCTGTGGGTCGGGACCCCATTTGGGGTCGAACGACCATTTCATGGGGGTCGCCAAACCATGCTGTCCACCATTTTGTTCCCTTTTCTCTAGCTGTCCTACTCCCTCTTATTGGTGGCCACACCCACTTGGGGGTCACCACAACATGGGGAACTGTATTATGGGGTCACGGCATTAGAAAGGTTGAGAACCACTGTTATAGAACATTATATATATTTGTCTACATATCATACTTATCGTATAACCAACCATATATTAACCATAGAAAAGTATCAATTATCCCTCCCCTAGCCATTCCTTTGTCCGTATGTATTTACAAACAGATTACTTAGTAAAGAGCCAACAAAGGAGCGCTCACCAAACTCTGCTTGAGTTTGTTTGCATACAAATCTTTATTCAAAACAACATAGCTCATTTATAATCCCAATTTTTTTTTCCTCAACTCCTTCATTTTAAACAAGGGTTGAATTATAATTCCTTCAATTCTCTTAGGTATTATTATTTTTTTTTTATCAGTGTGTCCTGCACAGAGATAAAAACATAAAAAAAAATAAATAAAACAACAACAACAAAAAGCAACTCCACAAAATAAATAAATAAACAAGCTTAATAAAATATTCTGAGTTACTGAAATAGTTTTGTATCAACTCTTTGGTTTTAATATAATTTTTGTCAAATTCCAATTTAATCAGATTCCATTCAGATGGAAACAAATTTCCATTAAATAGGTTAAATCATTTATAAATCTAAACAAATCAATTCAAAGTCATTTCTATTGGTTAATGGTTATATAGGTGTATTCCAGTTCTCATATTTCATTTATTTAAAAAAAATAACCTCATTTCTTACTGCAAGAATGGGTATTAAATTTCACATCCAGCTCACCTTCCTCAAACCAGAATTCTAAGCAGAAAAAAAAAGTTAAAAAGATCAGACCCCCCTTTTCTTTTCTGTCTTTCTCGCTCTTAAAGCAACACAGCCGGCTGGGGGTGGGAGGAAAGAGACAGGAAAAGAAGAAGAAATTATGCAACAATTTCACCACTAACAAAATAGTTTTCTCTTCACATGCATTTTCCATTTCACTTTTACAGTAACAAAAAAAAAAAAAAAATCTGCAGCTTACTGTTTCTTTCACAGTCTGGGATGGGGGAGAAATTCACACACACACACACACACACACACACACACACACACACACACACACACACAGGATCAGCATAACCACACATTCATTTCCATTCAAACTGCTTGTATAAGCACTTTCATATAGAGATATTTCATTTCATACTTTCTCCTGACAAACAAATAACTATTATTATAATTTCAAGGAACTGTTCAAAAGCCAATGAGCTCCTTTCCTCTCCCAATTTCCTTTGCTCTTAGAGCTTGCCTATTAACTTTCTTGCAAAATGAGACATCCGGCCGTTATGGTTTCACAACAGTGAAAACTCTCCTGTAGCCATACCTTTCAGAAACACGTCTTCTAAAACCCTCATGGAGTGTTTGGATTACTTCACGTGTTATGGCTTTATTCAACACCTGCTATCCATCAGGTAATATCCATTTTCCTTTTGTTTTATTACTTGGTTTATTGTGGCAACCATCATTTTATTCTGTTGCCTAAATTTCTCTACATATACCTTTGCACATATACCTTTTGTGCTGTCTTCAACAAGTCATCTATACTTTTCCCTGTCCATCCCTCCAACTTTTGTAACTTTTTACTTATATCCGGCCAAGATTTTACCACAAATTGTATTTTTACCAGAAGAGTATTTGCTGGGTCATCTGGATCAGTTCCAGAATACTTCCTCATTCCGTCTTTCAGTCTTTGGAGGAATGTAGCTGGAGATTCTTCTTTTTCTTGTTCTATCATTAAAGCTTTACTCATGTTCTGTGCTTTTGGGACAGCTTCTTTTATTCCTCTTATTAATAATACTCTCATATCTTCCATGTTTTGTCTATCTGCAACATTATTATTATCCCAATTTGGTCTTACTACAGGAAACTTTACATCTGCCAAAATTGCCCCCTGTGCTTGGGGATTATGTTCCCTAGTCCAGACCAAATGAGCTGCTCTTTGAATTAACTGTCTTTCTTCTGCTGTAAATAACGTGCTCTGTATCACTCCTAATTCATCCCATGTGTATATGTTTGCTCCTAACAACAGATCCACTTGCTCTGCTACCTCTATTGGATCTTCTATCATGCTTTTCATTTCTTTCTTAAAGGCGCGTAATTCAGATGCCTTTAAAGGCTCATGTACAAAACTGATATGGGCCTGTCCTTGGCCATCTACTCCATTGGGTACTTCTCTTAAAGCAGTGGTTCTCAACCTTTCTAATGCCGCGACCCCATAATACAGTTCCTCATGTTGTGGTGACCCCCAACCACTTATACATCACTGGATGCCAGGGGCGTGGCCAAAGAAAAGGGGGAAAATGGCGGACAGCCTTGTTTGGCGACCCCCCGTGAAATGGTCGTTCGACCCCAAATGGGGTCCCGACCCACAGGTTGAGAACCACTGTCTTAAAGGAAAAGCCTGTAGTGGTTTATCCTTAAAGGGAAAATTCTTTATATCTTTCTTCAATTGTTCCAATTCTTTTACTAATATCTTATAGGGTCCACCTCTCACAGCTCCCTGGGCTTGTGTTACAGGAGCTGGTAGGGGTGGTGGAATAGGTATTTGTACATTTGTTGGTTGTGGTAGATTAGTATTATAAGGTGGGGGTAAATATTTCATGGATTTTTCATCATCTTCTTCCTCCTCTATTTCATTCTTCTCTTCTTCTTGTAAATATATTGAAGTTACTTTATGAGGGCTAGGGCCACTCATAGTCAAGGTGACCCATTTACCTGGGTTCCAAATTAAAGCATAGTCTAACTCATTGACTAATGATTTACATGTTTTCCTTGACACATACTCATATAAATTCTGACAAGCAAAATAGTCATTTGTTCCTAATCTAGGCCACTCTACTTTTTCATCTTCCCACCAGACAAAACAACACAAATTGACCATATCTTCCTTGGTTATGTCTAATTTACTAATTATTTCATTATACGGAGGTTTTCCCCAATTACTCAACAAAATCCCTAATGGACTTTCTTTATCTATATTCAATTTGGAGTTTCTTCTTATTTTTCTCAAACACTTCTTTCCTGGAGTACTCCCTGTGTTGCCCATACTGGTTTACCGTCCTGTGTATTCTAATTGAGACTTCACGTAAATTCCTTAATTCACTCCCCCCTGATCCCCCTAGATATGCACTCGCATATCAGAGGTCCACTTTCGCTAAGTGGATACTTGGGATGTCACACACACACTGTCTCAAATTCACACAGGCCTACCCAGTCTTCCCACCGACTGCCTAGGCAGTGTATACTGGCCACCCCAGAACACTTACCTAGGTCCGTGCACGGAGTTGCCCAGTTCCCGGAAGTCAGCAACACACACACCGGTTCAATTTGTATCTCTGTCTAATATCAACTGTATGGGTTCACCGAGGAAAGCGTTGCTGCTCCTTTACCAACAAGATGAGATAGACTGTCGAAATCAACAGGGCATGCCTTCCACCTCACCTTCTGGATCTGGTGCAGACAAACGATCCCGGTCTCGAGCCCCATGTTGGGCACCAAAACTGTTGGTAGAAATTCTAGCCCACTGAATAACACCAAACAGCAAGTTGAAATTAGACAGAGATTTATTGGCTACAACGGTTTGCAAAGCGTGGTGGACTCCAAATAAATATTTGAGCCACACCTGGTCACAGCAAAAACACACATTATATACATTCTATCCCGACGCCTTGGCCCCTCCTCTGAGGTTACAATCTTATCAGGATCGCCTAAACAAAATACATTATCCCTGCCCCTTACTATTTTGCTTCACCTATTCCCTTATATGTACTTTATCATGAAATCCTATAGCTCAGTGTGGAAATCCTATAGCCTACGTGCAGAACTCTTCCAAGGTACGTGTACATGTAGAAATTGTGTAGAAATCTTGCAGTCTACCTGTAGAAATTTTTGTGAAGAAATCTTTCTGTCTGCGTGTAGAAATTTTACAGAGTATGTGTCATTTAACTTTACTTTTTATTCTAAAATTTTATTCCTAACATATGGACCGGTACCAGACTGCGGCATGCCAGCAAAAGGTCTCCACAAACAAGAAAAGCCCCATCCGCGGGATGCAGGCAGCACACAAAACCACACACCCTCCGGTCCATGGAAAAACCTCTTTCCACGGAATCGGTCCCTGGTGCCCAAAAGGTTGGGGACCTCTGCCTTAAAAGACAGCCCCCTCCCTTCCTTCCCCCCCAGCAACCTCCATATCTTTAAAAAGTCCCCTTAATTAGGAATAACCTTTTTTTTTTTTTACCCATGCACAAAAAACAGAAGAGCCATTGAAGCACCGAAGCCGTCTGAAGCCGTCTCTCCCACGGGATGTGGCGAGGAGCAAATTCAATCTTCATCCTAGCAGCCGAGCCCGTTCCACCCTCTTTGGACTGAAGACGCTGACCCAACGTTGTGGTGCTGGTTGCGGGAGGAAGGGGCAAAGTCTGTGGCCTCTGCCGGCCCAGGAGGAACACGGTGCTGGGTGCAATTACAGTAATTAATGTGGAAATCTGGAGGAAACTCAGCCCCTTTTGGCACTCTGGACCGGTTCAGTGTGTAGGGCTGGGTCATAAATTCTTGCTTCTCTGTTATGTCTCAGCCACCTCACCCAAAAGCAGCAGAAACGTTCAAGAGAAGTTGGAAGGGACCCATCTTCCTTCTGGTGCACCTTCTCCTCTTGGGAAAGACGCCAATGGAGCATTGGAAAGCACGCTGCATCCCTCTTCGTGGGTTTATGAGATTTTTTTATTATAAGTAATACAAAGTGGCAAACATGCATAATATTCCCTCTTCCTTCCCCCTGATAACAACGACCCTGTGAGGTGGGATAGGCTGGGAGACAGAAGGACTAGCTCAAAGTCTCCCAATTGGCTTTCATATCTCCTCAGGCAGGACTAGAACTCACCTTCTCCTGGTGGCTGGCTGAAATCACCCAGCTGGCTTCCATGCCTAAGGCTGTACTAGAACTCCCAGTCTCCTGGTGATTGGCCAAAGTCATCCAGCCAGCTTCCATGCCTAAGGCAGGACTAGAACTCCCTGACTCCCAATTTCTAGACCAGCCCCTTAACCACTAGACCAGACTCTTATGGCCTACTGGGATGCGTCACCCATTTAAGGAGTCATTCCTGGGTTAAAGTCTTCTGCTGAGTCGGCTCTCCCATTTTTCCAATGCTTCTTCCCGCCGTATGGTCAGAATCCTCAAATAATTTAAAATATTTGAATGCTGGTTTGAGAGCCTGCCTTATTAGGGGGACGGCAGAAACGCTGAAGCCAATATTTTTCCATTCGGCGTGTCTTTCTGCCACGAGGGACTGTTCCAGGTTTCCTGGTTTCCCAATCCGAAGACATCCAGCAGTGATGGGTGAAAGGCCATTCCTTGCACTCTGCAGAGAGAGAATTGTGCAAGGAGAGGTGGGGCTTTTACATACCCAGACACCCCTTAGTCCTACCTAAAAACGAAAACAAAACCCACCCACAGCAAACCTTTGCCATGTTTATTTCCTTCTTTACCTTTATTATTTATTATTTATTACCTTCTTTACCTAGAATTAAGGAGAAACTTCCTGACAGTCAGAACAATTAACCAGTGGAACCACCTGCCTCCAGAAACGGTGAATGCTCCAACACTGGAAGTTTTTAAGAAGAGACTGGACAGCCATTTGTCCGAAATGGTATAGGGTTTCCTGCCTGAGCAGGGGGTTGGACTAGATGACCTCCAAGGTCCCTTCCAACTTTATTATTATTATTATTATGGATCATCGTACAGTCAGCCAGATGTTCAGACTGGATTTGGCATTTTGTCTACCTATCGAGTCCTTACCCAGGACCTGGGATAGGCAGATGTGGATGTTTGATGGTATTACAGATATCGTCGCAGGATGGAAACAGTTCCTAGTAAGGCCGCCTTTTGCAATTGACTAATAGCGAATTTTTCAATGCCAATGGTATTCAAGTGGTGCTCCAGTTGTTTTGGGATTGCACCCAAGGAGCCTATGACTATTGGTACTACCCTTGCTTGCTTTTGCCATAGTCTTTCTATTTCTATTTGTAGGTCTTTGTATTTTGTTAACTTCTCCAGTTCTTTCTCGTCTATTCTGCTGTCTCCAGGCACTGCCACATGACTGGATAATCAAGTGCCTAGAAATAACAGGATTCAGTAGAAACATCAGAAAATTTGTGCAAAGATCGATGGCACGATGGAAGACACAGTTGCAGATCAATGGTGAGAGACTGGGAGAGGTTAATATCAAGAGAGGAATATTTCAAGGAGATTCATTATCACCATTACTATTTGTTATTGCACTGTTTCCTCTGTCAACAATACTGAATAACTCAGGACATGGCTATCAAACATCAAAAACATCTACCAGACTATCCCATCTCCTTTACATGGATGATCTGAAGCTGTATGGAAAAACATCATCTGAAATAGAATCGCTGCTCAACACTGTCCATATATATAGCCAAGATATTGTAATGGAGTTTGGCTTGGACAAATGTGCCACACTTGCTATCAAACAAGGAAAAATAGTGAAAACTGAAGGAATCAAGATGCCCCGCGAAAATAACATTAAGAGTCTGGATGAGGAAGAGTACTACAAATACTTGGGTATCCTTCAAGCTGACAACATCAAGCACACTGAAGTCAAGAAAAAGATTAGAGGTGAATACATCAAGAGAGTGAAGAAGATCTTAAAGTCCAAACTCAATGGAGGAAATACCAAAAAGGCAATCAACACCTGGGCAATCCCAGTCATTAGGTACACAGCTGGAATAGTGGACTGGACTCAAGCAGAACTAAAAGCAATGGATAGGCAGACCAGAAAAATAATGACAATGAATCACACCCTTCATCCACGCAGTGACATTGATAGACTTTATCTACCAAGGCAAATAGGTGGGCGTGGAATGCTACAAGTACATCAGATGGTTGAAGAAGAAGAAATGGCTTTGGAAGAATATCTGAAGAACAATGATGAAGATGCACTGAAATTAGTATATCAGGAAGGCTTACTGACTACTGGAGAGAAAAAACTGGCCTACAAGAAAGACCAAATGAAGAACAGAATAGAGGCATGGGAAGACAAAGCACTACATGGCCAGTACATTAGAAAAATAGCTGGGAAGGCAGATAATAAAAAGACTATTATTATTATTATTATTATTATTATTATTATTATTATTGTTGTTGTTGTTGTTGTTGTTGTTGTTGTTGTTGTTGTTGTTGTTGTTCTCTGCCCAATAGAGAATCAGAATGTTAGAAAAATTAATGTCCTTGACTTACAACCATTCGTTTACTGATTGACCAAAGTTACAACGGCACTGAAGTGACTTATGACCATTTTCCACACGTGACAATATTTTCAACAACCCCATGGTCACGTGATCAAAATTCGACCGCTTGGCCACTGACTCTTTTTTTTTTTGTAAAAATTTTTATTTTAAATTTTACAATACATAACAATCTTACAAATACTTCAGATAAAAAATAAAACAAATTGATACACACCACATTCGGTCTTGCCCGCCCATTTCCCCCCAAACCGCATCCCACCTCAAACCAACTTACTTCTTTCCCTCTTTTTCTTCACTCACCCCCCCCCCCTTCTCCTTCACCTCCACCTTCCTACCTACTTCTCACCTTCTTCTCCTCCCTCTTGATGCGGTCCAGGGGAAATGCCCGAGCAGCTCCTCTCTCAAAATTAAAACATTAATATTATATACAATAAGACTATTTCTACTTTATCTGAACTACTTAAACTTCAACCCATCCACCCCCCTCCCCCCACCCCCTCCCCCCCGACTTCCCAGAGCAAAATACAGGATTATGCAAACATATTAATCTATTTAAGTTTACTAATTATACAATGAACAAAATCATAAAAACCCTTAACTCTCTTCAAACTTTAACATCGTAAGTTTATAAACAAAATCATTACTCATAAAATAAGTGAAACTTTGTAGTTCCATATTTCTTCTGAACATATTCTATCCATCTTCTCCATACGTTAAAATATCTCTTGTGAATGGTCCTTTAAATAAGCAGAAATTTTAGCCATTTCTGCTAAATTAGAAACCTTAAATACCCATTCTTCTAAAGAAGGCAGAGTATCCTTCTTCCAATATTGACCCACCAGTAATCTTGCTGCTGTTATTAAATTCAACATTAAAATAGTTTCTTTAACATTAAAATCCACAAAAATTCCCAAAAGAAACAGTTGGGGAGTAAACTTAATCTTCCTTTTAAAAACCTTTTGAATGTTCCACCAAATCATAATCCAGAAGGCTTTAATAACTTTACAAGTCCACCAAACATGAAAATAGGTTGCATCCAAGCAACCACATCTCCAACATTTAGGTTGCAGGTTCGGGTACATACAGGACAGCTTTTTAGGATCCAGATGCCATCTATAAAACATTTTATAAAAATTTTCCCTCAAATTCTGGGCCTGCGTAAATTTAACATTTCTAGTCCATAAGTCCAACGAGATCGGTTCTTGAATATTCTGGGCCCATTTAATCATACAATCTTTAACTAACTCTGTTTCTGAATCCAATTTTATTAACTCATTATAAATTCTTTTAAGCTACTAACTATTATTTATGATGGTTTCGGAGTCCCCAGGGGTCACGTGGTCCCCATTTTGCGACCTTCTCACCAGCAAAATCAAGGGGAAAACCAGATTCACTGCAGAACCGTGTTACTAACTTAATAACTGCAAAGGTTCACAACAATTTTGGCAAGAAAAGTCCTAAAATGGGGCAAAATTCACTCAGCACCTGTTTCATTGAGCAACAGGAATTTTGAGCTCAATTGTGGTCTTATGTCGAGGACTACATCTATTGTAAAGCAAGAGAAGAATGGGGTGTGGTGTGGGGTGTGGGGTCCCCCAGCCTGTCCCTCGCACAACTTGGAAAAAGACACTGGAAGGATAAGCCAACAGCTAGCAAGTCTTCGTTCCAGTGTGGCTGTGACTGAACTGTCGCCATGCGTGCCTGGCTGAGGAATTCTGGGAGTTGAAGTCCACAAGTCATAAAAGGGCCATATTTGAAGACCCCTGCTGTATGATGAACGGAACAGCTGAGGCAACGAGCTATGTCTAGCTAGGAAGCCCCTTTGTGCACATCCTATCTATCACTATCTAATTTTCTGTTAACCAAAGCTCTGCTCCTATAGTTATTTCTGTATTTCTTCTGCTTGCGGTTCAGGTTAGCTAGCAACTTCGGCTTTTCTTATTTGTATATATGCTGGAATTGGGTCTGTCTAGTTTAATGAAGAGAAGGATGAGGAGGGACATGATAGCAGTGTCCCAATATCTCAGGGGCTGCCCCAAAGAAGAGGGAGTCAATCTATTCTCCAAAACACCCGAAGGCAGGACAAGAAGCAATGGATGGAAACTAATCAAGGAGAGAAACAACCTGGAACTAAGGAGAAACTTCCTGACAGTTAGAACAATTAACCAGTGGAACAACCTGCCTCCAGAAGCGGTGAATGCGCCAACACTGGAAGTTTTTAAGAAGAGACTGGACAGCCATTTGTCCGAGATGGTATAGGGTTTCCTGCCTGAGCAGGGGGTTGGACTAGATCAGTGGTTCTCAACATATTAATGCC